GAGAACTTGATACTGGAAGGCTGCTGTCATTTAGAGGAACTTCCTGAAGGCTACCTGCAAGTGAAAGGTAGCTGTGGTGGGCAGGGTGCACACGTGCCATCCCAGGGGGCTCAGGTGGCTGAGGCAGAAGGATCTCAAATTCAAGGCCAGGCTCAGCAATCTAGGGAGACCTTCAGTAATTCAGCAAGACCCTGTCTCAAAATAAAAAATGGGCTCAGGAGGTAGCTCAGTGATAAAGGGTCCTGGGTTCAATCCCCAGTACTCCACCTTCCCAAGGTGATGTTTATTGCTTCTGGACTTGGGAGTGGCAAAAGTGTCTGAACCTATATGGCAATGACAAGCACCAGCTTTGGGAATGGTTAACCTGGGGAGGGAGGATGGAGAATAGGCAGGAAGGCATGCTTAGCTGCAAGCCTCTGTGACAATTTACTTCTTAAAAAGATGTTATGTCAAAATGTTTAGATTTGTTAAAGCTGAGAGGTATGAGTGTGTGTGTGTGTGTGTGTGTGTGTGTGTGTGTATAATAGGCCTTTTTTCTGGATGCTTGAAATAGTCAATAATTTTTTTTTTTAAAAAAGTGTTTTTAAGCGTCAGGGATTTGGAGACAGGCTCAGGGTTATGTCTTCTCTTACCAGTCATCAACTGCGTTTTGGATAAGTTGCTTTCCTCTCTCATCTGTAACTGTTCTTTTGGGCTGTCACATAGATCAATGTGAGGAAACAGTTTGCCAGTTTTCTTGTTTCTAAAAGATAATTTTATTTATCGCTTTATTCTCAAATTTAAGTATCTGAGGCTAACATTCTACTCCCTCTCCCTGCAATGCACATATAGAAACTTGGAAGTTTGGCTTACACCTGGAAATCATCTTTAGGTTTAGACTTTCTTTGGAATTTGACAAGGGATGATTTAATTTACAATCTATGTAGAGACTTCCTTTGAGCCAAGGCACGGTGGCTCACACTTATAATCTCAGCTACTCAGGAGGTTGATGAGGAGGATCACGGGTCTGAAGCCTATCTCAGTAATTTAGCCAGACCCTGTCTCAAAAAATAAAAAATTCTGGGGATGAAGCTTGGTGTCTACCTGCTTACTGTGCATGAGGTCCTGGGTTTCATTCCCAGCACGGGGCAGGGGGGGGGGGTCCCTTTGACATTTATAGGCTATATGAGCAATTGATCTTTGTTTGAAAGAATTCAGTCATGCCCACTGGAGATGTCAAAAGCCTACTAGTATTTTATAGTTCTGAGACATATTGAAAAGTTGAATCCAGAATTTGTGGGAAATTTGGGTCATGTGATGTTAATGTATTTACCTCCTTAGAAGCTTCCTTTGGGCCCAGTATCCACAGTTCCTCCATGTCAGCCATCAGTAAGGCCCTTTTTTTCTTTCTCTGGGATTACCCAAGGAATCACTGAGAAGTAGGAGGAAGCTGTCTCCCACCACCATAGGGGCCTCTGGCCCTTGCAGGCTAAGACCAGTGGACATAGGGAGCCAAGAGTCTTGCTGGTTAGAGATACCAGCCAGTGGGCTAAGTATCTGAGTCACAGAATGGAAGGGAAGAGGCCAGGTATAAACACTGGGTCTGGGTTTAATACAGGAGCCAAAGTTTCCGGGTTGTGACCTCATTCCACCTCAAATCCGATCTGGACCTTTTCTTCTCAGCCCAGATACTTGGCAACTAGCGTGACCTTTCACTCGTTCCATTCCCCAGGCACCGTGTCCTGCAGATGCTGCCTTTGTTAGTTTCCTGTGCTGTGGATTGAACCTAGGGCCTTACACATGGTAGGTCAGTGTTTTACCTCTAAGTAATCGCCACATCCCTAGCCCTCTTTATTTTGAGACAGGGGCTTGCTAAGTTGCTGAGACTAGCCTTGAACTTGTGATCCTCCTGCCTCAGACTCCTAAGTAGCATTACAGGCATGTGCCACCGTGCCAGTGATTTTACCTTGTTAAAGGCTCAAAATAGGACCATGTTAACTTGCAAGAGGGGCTTTGTTAGAATCTAGGCAGAAGGACCCCCACTGGGTGTAACCAGCTTACAGGTACATATCTTGGCTAACAAATTGCTCCTTAATGAGAAGAGGTGTCTTTTCCTCCTGCTAGGCTGCTTGGCTCAGCTGGGATACCACTGGCATCTCATCCTCCTCTGGTACCTTCCCCCTGTGTGCGGTGACTGCACCATGATGAGTGGTGGTCTGCTTATGCTTTTTACTCCTCTCCATTGGCCCTGCTGCACTTGGTGCAGGTCCTTGGGGGCTGGCATGGCCTGCCCTAAAGGCAGCCACAGTGTCCTCAGGGCTGCCTCCTAGAAGATCAGGCATGCCTTTAGGCACACCCCAGTGACTTCTGAACAGACTCAAACTCTCAAGTTGCCACCTAAGGCTTAGTTCCTAAATTCCCTTTCTTCCTCTGTCTCTCCCACTGGAAGCCCTGCTCCACTGGAGCTCCCCTGGCCTCTGCCAGCAAGGTCCTGGCTCCCTTTCTCCTTCTGGCAAGTCTTCCCTGGTTGGGTAACTCTTCCTTGCCTTCCCTCTCCCTTGACACCTCACCCTGTGCTACAGTCAATGCTGACTGCCCAACTGGCACCAGGGGTACTGTGCCTGAGCCCACCATACTTTTTGGGGCTTCTGAAAAGATTTCAAATCAGAAGGAAAAAAACAACAACAACAACTTTGCAAGGGTCCAAGTATGTTAACATTTCTTTTCACATGAAAAAATTTACTGAAACATTTAAAAATTCTCTTTAATAGAAGATGTCCACAAAGGTAAAAGTATCTATGGCCCATAAAAATAACGTGGCTGGGTACACACCTGTAATCCCAGCCACTGGGGAGGCTGAGGCAGGAGGATCATAAGTTCAGGACCAGCCTCAGCAAATTAGCCAGACTCTGTCTTGCTTAGTGGTAGAGCACCCCTGGGTTCAATTTCTAGTGTAGGAAAGAAAAATTAAAAAGAAAGAAAATCATAATGTGGTCCTGGATTACAGTTGTCTTTGGTTCCCCTTCCCACAGTGAATTGAGAACTCTTAGCAAAGGGGGATGGATTCCCCTGCATTGTTATTTTTATTTTTTGGCGGTGCTGGGAGTTGAATCTGGCACCTTGTACATGCTACCCAAGTATTTTTAAACCTTTCCACCTAGCCCAGGGCTAGGCACTTTGGATTGGCTCAGGCAATGCTTTCCAAATCAATGAAATCAGCAGACCATCTTGAGTGAGCTTCTCCTCTCTGAGTCTCATGTCTTCGTCTGAGCAGCCAAGCTCCAGCTTCATGAGTTTGCCGGTGGAACGCTTGGAAACTGGAGCTTGGAGCCTTTCCTGAGGCTTGCAGGATGTGGGTGATGGGGAAGGGCCAGAGGTTGTTAAAAATGGCTCCAGGTGGCTTTGAGACCTTGCTTTGTGTAACAAACAAAATCACCCTCTTTATACACAGAGAGTACAGGAAGGACAGATAGAAATGCATCTCAGTCTCACCGTGGCTGCACCTGAACGTGTAGCCTTTGTAATTAGAAACTAAAGTGAAATAAATCAAGAAGCCCCTTAGCCCGAGAGGAACAGACTTCTTTCACTTTAGGTCATTAGGCCGCATTAGCGTCACCCCCGCCCCTCCCTGCTCTTTTTTGTGAACTGGGAATCTAACTTAAGGTTTGGAGGGTGCCAGGCAAGTGCTCTCCCAGAGTTACATCCCCAGGGGCTGACCACACCCCACTCCCCTACCCACCCCGTCCGCTGCATTTTTTTTTCTTTTCAAAGCCGTACTCAGAAGCTCACGAAGGGCAGGTCCCTTTTTATTTTCTCTTTGAATCCCGGGGCCAGGCAACCCTCCACCTCATGACCCCACCTGGCACCCCATGAGCACCAGGGGCCCTGCCCCAAGCGGGTGGAAAAAAGGGCAGCCCCATCCTGAGTGACAGCAGAGATGTGAGACAGACTCAGTTTCCCCAACGTTAAGTCTCTCAGGTCATCATTGGGCCTGAAGGAGAGATGGGGTATCTGGGACTGGGACAGAGTCCTGGGAGACAATTAAGAAATCTTAGTTCCGGTCCCTTGGTCGTATACACTTGCGGCGGTGAGCGGGGGTGGGTGTTTCCTGTGTTCCGGGTAATTTAATATTTTCCAAGGCTCCCAAGGGGCTGGAATTGTTTCCATTTTATAAGCCAGGGGTGCTAAGTCACAGACAGTAGTAGTTTTCGCCGTCTTGGTCAGTGCTGTGTCCAGAGTCTAAAAGCATGCGGGCACATAGTAGGTGCTAAATGAGAGAAGGAATCTGTCAATGACTTCTATAACGGATTGCCGGGTCCCTGCCCGCAGGACTTCCCGCAGAAAACTCATCTCTAGATAATAAGACCCTGCATGGCCTCCCGCAACCTGTAATTTTGATCTCCAGGAATCGCCTTTGTTGTGGGAGACCAACCACAGGCAAAGCAAGCACCTGCTTCTCCAGCAGGTCCTCGCAGGAGGGCCCCAGGCTGCCGCGACCCCGCGTGGCTGCCTCGCGGGGTCCCTTCTCTCGGTTTCCCGGGAGCTGGGGACCTGGAGGCGCCCCCGGGACACGCGGCCAGGGTCTGTCCCAGCGCTTCGCAATCGTGTTGACGCGCGTGCCCAGGTGCCCGACACCCTGACCGCGGTTAGCATTCTTTGCCCCCTAAGGCCGGGCAGGAGGTCTGGGGCTGCACCGAGGGTCTCCTACGGCACCCCCGGGCCTGTGGGGCTAGGAGCCTGAGTCACCGCCGCGCCCGCCCTCTTCCCGGCCTCCATCCCGGGGCCACCTCGGCTCCTCAGGGCCGGCCCCGGCGCCGCGGGCTCTCGGCGGGTGTACGGTACACCCCGCTCCCCCGCCTGCGCCTCCGCGGCCACCGCCCTCACCCCTGACCAGCTCCCGAGGAGCCTCGCCCGTCCGCCCCTCCCCTGGAGAAGCCGGAGCTCCCAGCGCTCCCCGGCGGCTCCCGCGGGAGGGGGCGCGGCCGCCCCCGCGGCTCCACCCTCTCGGCGGGGCCTCAGCCATCTGGGGCCCCTGCCAGTCGCGTCCGCTCCGGGGCCCGCGCCGAGGTCGCGTGGGAGGAGGCAGCCCCTGGCAGGGACCTCGGCCGCTCCACCGGGCGGTCCCCTGCCTGCGCCGCCGCGGAGAGCCCAGCGCTGACATGCCCCGAGGGGGCGGTGGCTGCGAGCCGAGCCTGAGTGGAAGCGCGTCGCAGCGGACGCGGGCGCCCCTCACCACCTCGGTGACCCTTCGGGAGTCGTGACCGGATCCCCGGAGGTGGCGGCGCGGGCCCGCGAGGGCGGCGAGGTCCGTGCTTTTAGCGTCCGGAGGGGCCGCTGGCTGCGGACTCGCCCCCTCCTGCCTTTCCCCCCCAGCCCCCCGCGAGCTGGCAGGAGGAAATAGCGCGCGGCCCCTTTAAATTTACCCAGGAGCCCTTAAAGGAGCCCCAGGGGCCCCAGACAGGAATCCCCACCCCGGTCCAGCCCGCGCCGCCGAGCGAGCAGCCAGCCGTCCGTGCGGCCGGCCGCCCAGTGCATGCGCCCCGCGCCCCGGGGCCTCGCGCACCGAGCGCCCCGCGCGGGCCGCCTTCGGCCCCGCGGCCCCGCGCCCCGCCGCCCCGGGGCCCCGCTCTGCAGCGCAGCGCATGGAGCCCGGCGGGGACCACCGGAGCCGGAGCGGCGGCGGCAGGGGCGGCCCCGGGCCAGCAGTGGCCTCGGCACGGGGCCGACGGCTGCCGCCCACCGGATCGAGCGGCGGCGCGGAGCCCGAGGAGGACGACGGCGGTAAGAGCTGGGGCCGGCGGCCCAGGCGGGGGCCCCGGCGTGGGGGAAGGGAGGGCTTCGGCTCCGGGCTCCGGGCCCCTCTCCGCCGGCGAACAAAGGGGGGGACGCGGGCAGGCCGGCCGGGGGCGCCACCTGGCGGGCGCGGATCGAAGTTGCAGGGCCAGCGGGAGAGCCCTCCGCCCAGCGCCCGGGGTCGGCCCGCGGGGCTCGGGCGGATCCCTTCCTCCTTAAAGGGCCCCGCGGCGACCCGCCTTGGGGGCCAGGCGGAGGGGCCCCGCGGGGCCAGCGCCGCGGGGCTCTCTGGGGTTGGACCCGCGGTCCCCGCCCCTTTCTCTTTCAGACTCCCAGGTGGTCTTTCTTATCCAGCTGTCTCTTAAAAGACCGCCCACACCCCGTGTCCCTTCTGGATTTTTTCCCCTCCTTCCCTAGAGTAGCAGAGCACCGAACTCCACGGTTTCCAGTCCGCCTGCCTCTCGCTTCATGTGGCCTGGTTCGAGGCAGGAACTCTCTTTCCTACGTTCTCCCTGGCAAAGAGAATGGCTTGCGCCCGGGGCCCACCACCACCTTCCCCCACCGCGGGCAGCTTTTAAATAAGGGATGGGTTCGCCCACAAAGGCAGACACCCTCTTCTGTCCCCGCCTTGTCTCTTCCTTTTTCAGAATTTCCCTCAACCCCAATTTGTCAGCTGTAGTGGGACCAGCCCGTCCTCTTGGCTCTCAGAGAAAACTGTTGTCAATTCCCAGCTGCGCCTAAGGACCTGTGAGGGTGCAGTCCCGACCTGGGAGACTCTGCCCTAATCTCTGAGCTCCCCTCCCCAAAACTCCCCATCCCCTTTTGTTTTTAAAGAATCTCAGCTCCTCCTCTTTTTTTTTTTTTTTTTGACTCTTAAAGGGCCAGTCTGCCTTAGACTATCATGGCTCCAGCGCTGGAAGGATGCTAAAAGACCAGCTAGCCATCCAGTATCTTTGCAGACAAAGAGGGCAAAGGCCCAGAGAGCGGACATGACCTACTAGAGGTCACAGAGCAAGTTATCAATGAAGCTAGGACTTGAACCTAGTGGTTTTTTTCTATGAATCTACTTTTTAAAAATGCAAACTAAAACAAACAAAACCCTCTACAGTGTGACAGGAGTCCTCTCTGAGCCTGTCTTTTGTTTGCTGGATCCTGGGATTCTCCAATGGGAGAATGACCAGAACCTGTCCATTTACTTTATGTGGCCAGGAGACCGTTTTCTAAATAAAAGAGGGTCATAACTGTAGGGAGGGTGGGGACTGCTCTGGGTGCCTGTTTCACAAAGGGAACACCATTGGGTTAACCCCCCATCCCCTCCAGTGCCCTCCCTTCTTATTGCTGGGCAGTGGCCAGCTCCCTGCCAGAGCAAAAAATAAATCTCCAGAAAGACTTAATGGGTTCTAGTGGGTGGTGGCTGCTCCCTGATGCAGTGTCTTTGGTAACCACTCTGGTGGCCTTGCTGCCATCCCCTTTCAGGGTCATTGGCTCTCTCAGACTGGGGGGGGGGAGTCCAGGTCCAAGAAACTCCTTTTTGTGGAGGTGTTGACAGCTTTGTGTTGGGGATCTCTCCTGTAGGGGAATCTGTATTTAGGGAACTGACAAAGGCATAGCCTATACCTACGTGGGACTCTCAGGAGGCAGTTTTTGAGGCATTATTGGAAAAAAGGAGACCTTTGGGTGGGGCCCTCCTGGCTGGGGCCCCAGGTGGGTGGGTCCTTGTGCAGGCCTGGATGTAGACAGATGCCCCCTTTGTTCCTCTCACCCCACTGCCTTCTCCATGCTGGCTGTAACCGCTCCAGCTGCTGCTGTCCTGGCTTTATCCCTACACTTTCCTCCAAAAGGGTGCTATACAGAGCTGGTGTGTCCTTGGCCCTCACTTATCTTTAAAAAGTCACAGCTGGCTCACAGGGTGCCCAGCATCCTTTTGTTCTCGAGCCTCTCACAGGGTCCTTGCCCTGTGTTAGGGTGTTTTGACACCCTGGTTCTCCCACGTTCCTGTCATCGCTATTGCTGTCCCTTCCCTTCCGTGAAACACCCCACCCCCTTCTCAGGCTCTGAAATTAAAGCTCTGGTTCTTCTCCTGGAGACTGGAGATTGAAATCTGTCTTCCTTTTCTCTTCTTCAGGACAAGATCTTCAGCTGGAAGGGGGTACCTTGGGGTCCTGGGGGAGTACCCCCCTGCCCTCCTCCAGGGCCAGGGGACCAGCATCTTCGGGCAGGAAATACTCAGACCATTGTGAGGCCAGGGCCTCGAGGCCTGGAAAGAGCCGCATCCCTGGCCGTGACCACCGGCGCTACTACCATGACCACTGGCGGCTGGAGTACCTGATGGACTTCAACCCTGCTCGGCATGGCATGGTGTGCATGGTGTGTGGCAGCTCCCTGGCCACCCTCAAGCTCAGCACCATCAAGCGGCACATCCGCCAGAAACACCCCTACTCTCTGCATTGGAGTCCCCGTGAGAAGGAAGTCATCAGCAACAGCTGGGATGCCCACCTGGGGCTGGGGGCCTGTGGTGAGGCTGAGGGCCTAGGGGCCCAGGGGGCTGAGGAAGAGGAGGAGGAGGAAGATGAAGAGGAGGAAGAGGGGGCTAGCCTCCAGGCTTGCCCACCCAAGGGCTCAGGTAATGCGGGACATGGAGAGGCAGGGACCTAGGTATGTTGGGACCAAGTCAGGGCAGCTGCTCTGTCCACTAGCTGATTTTTTGGGACAGGTCACTGCTCCTTCTCTGGGTAAGGCCTGTTTATTGCCCTTATTGTCCAATAGTGAGAGGACAGTTGATGGGAGTCTCCAACCTCTCTAACACCTTTGACGTTCTGTGGTTTTAGAGGAGTTAGAAGTTGGTGGGAACAGGCAGGGAGGGTTAGGGTAGGTGAGGGAACAGAAGGGTGCTAGAAAAGCTGACAGTGGAGCCCAGGGAAGGGGCTGGAATCTGGGTCTGGGAAGGCTGGTTGGACTTTGCTAGCATGTGCAGGAGGATTAGGGAGATGAAGCTAAGATGTGAGGGGAGAGGATGGCAGAGGCAGAGGTTAGATGTGGCACTTGAGTCACAGTTCAGTGAGCAAGAGGCTGTGGAAGGCCTGGCTGTGGTGGGGGGCTCCCTAGAGGGCCAGCATCTCAGTTGCTTCCCTCCAACCCTTTCAGGCAAAGCCTCAGCTGGTGGGGGCTCCCGGCGTTGGCGTCAGGTGCAAGGGGGCCCAGTGGCACCCCGACGCCGGTGCCTCTCAGCCTCCAGAAGGGCTGGGGGCAGCAGGGGACTGGGGTCCCAGCGCCTGGAGAGAAGGCTGAAGGAGTCCTTGCAGAGCTGGTTCCGGGCTGAATGTCTCATGGACTATGACCCGCGGGGGAACCGGCTGGTGTGCATGGCGTGTGGCCGGACATTGCCCAGCCTGCACCTGGATGACATCCGTGCCCATGTGTTGGAAGTGCACCCCAGCTCTCTGGGGCTCAGCGGCCCTCAGCGCAGTGCCCTGCTGCAGGCTTGGGGTGGCCAGCCTGGGGCACTGTCTGAGCTCACCCAGCCCCCACCAGGTGCGAGGTTGCCCCGAGGCTGAGACTCCCCCCTCTTTAGTGCTGCAAGGTGGGGTCTGTGGCTAAAACTGAGAGGCAGGTACTCCTGGCCAAAGGCCAAAGGCCCCGCCTACTCATCCCATCCCTGCACTTGCACTGGTGGACTCTCCTGTGCCCTCTTTCTCACCCTCCCTCTCTCCTTCTCTCTCACTCTCTCTCTCTGCCTCTCCCCCCTTACCCACCTCTGTCCCCCTTCCCCCCTCTCCCCCTCCCTCTCTCTCTCTTCCTCCCTCCCTCCCTCTCTCCCTCTCTCTCTTTCTCTCCCCCCCTCTCCCTGGGGCCTCTAGCTTGGGGCTGGGGTGAGGACCAAGGATAGATACCCCCCCACCCCGCGTGGGTAAGGACAACGTCAGCAGGCTGAGCCCCTCTCCCTCAACCCTTCCCCAACAGACGAGGACCTCGTTCCCCAGGACCTGACCAGAAAGAGCCGGGACTCGGCCCCTGCTGCTGGAGCCCCCTCCTCTCAGGATCTCAGTCCCCCAGACGTAAAGGAAGAGGCTGGCAGGGTCACTGAGAGGCCCAGGCCCACACAGGAGGGCGAGAGCGAGGGAGAGGCGGAGAGGGAGGGGGTTCCCGGGCAGTCGCTGCGGGGCGGCGACCACCGCCCTCACTACCGAGAGCGCTGGCGACTGGAGTACCTCATGGAGCTGGACGGCGGCCGGCGCGGCCTGGTGTGCATGGTGTGCGGGGGCGCGCTGGCCTCCCTCAAGATGAGCACCATCAAGCGGCACATCCGCCAGCGCCACCCGGGCTCCACGTGCCTCACCGGGCCTGTCAAGGAATGGAGCGAGAAGGCCGCCCACCTTCTGGCCCTGGGGCTGCCCTGCTCGGAGTCACCCCCCAGCTCCACCGGCCCCAGTACTGCCGCAGTCCGGGAAGGGGGAAGGGCGGAGGAGGCGGAGCCAGAGGAGGAGTGGTGGGGTGAGCCGGTGGAGGGCCAGAGCAGGTGGCCAGGAGTGCCGGCAGAGAGCGCGGGTAGGGACCGGGCAGGCAGGGAGAGGGCTGGGCCTAGCGTGGCTGCTTGAAGAGTGAGAGTAGAAGGCTGAAGGGAGGCTGGGATCGAGGGACAAAAGGAGGAGAATGTGTGCTGAGATGTGGGACCTGTCCTGCTGTCTGCCAGCAACTCCAATGCAGCCCTTTGTCCTTCTCCAGGCGAAGTCCCACTCTCCCCTGGAGCTGCTTTGGAGCGGCCCCCCGAGGAAGAGGAGGACGAAGAGGACGGGCAGGAACCCGGAGGACTGGCCTTCCCGCCGCTGCCACTGCCGCCGCCGCCCCCTCCCCCGCCGCCGCCGCCGCCGCCCCGCAGCCGGGAACAGCGGCGGAACTACCAGCCGCGCTGGCGGGGCGAATACCTGATGGATTACGACGGCAGCCGGCGCGGCCTGGTGTGCATGGTGTGCGGGGGCGCGCTGGCCACGCTCAAGGTGAGCACCATCAAGCGGCACATCCTGCAGGTGCACCCCTTCTCCATGGACTTCACACCGGAGGAGCGCCAGACCATCCTGGAGGCCTACGAGGAGGCGGCGCTGCGCTGCTATGGCCACGAGGGCTTCGGGCCACCCGCCCCTGCACCGCGTGACGGCGGCACGGACCTCAAGCCGGGTGCCGTGTGCCGGGCGTAGCGGACTCGCTGGGTCGCCCTGTGCTCGGCCGGGCCCGGGCTGGGAGGCCCTCGTATCTAGTGCTAGAGCTTCCCACGCCCGACTGCTGTCGCGCCCCCCCGCTGGCCGGGCCGGGCGGAGATTGGGTGGCGCCGACTCTACTGCTTGTTGCTACTTAGGTGTCGGAGCTAGTCGGGCGCTGGGGGAAGCGCACCCGGTCCCGGTGCTCCGGCCCTTTGCGCAGCGCTCCGCTTTCTATGAAGCCAAAGCGGTCTCTGAAGTGTTAGCACCGAGCGCCGCTAGCCCCAGCCGGTGTCGGGCAGCACCCGGCGAGGCGCCCCTTTGCCAGGCTGGGATGGGGGCGTCATCAGTCAGTATTAAGGCCTCGGGGAGGGCAGGAGGAGCGCGCCGGCCCCTTGTCCTGGCCGGGGGCCCAGTTCTCTGCGGCCTTGCACGCCAGCAGGCACAGCTCCCGTCTCGGGGACTGCTGACTGCCTTGTCCTAATTGGTATTCTTGGCCTCTCGGAGGCCCTGGCCACGGACGGGGGCCTTAGGCTGGGGGCGGACCCAGGGCTGGGAGCCTCCGGGATGGGGAGGGCGCGTGGGACCACGGACGGGCGGGGCGACCCGCCCTGAGCCTGGGCCCTGCCAGCTGCCCAGCCTCGGGGGCAGGCTCAGAGAGACCCTGCCCCTGGTGGCCCCGCCCTCTGCCACTCCCTCCCGCTCGTACTGGCTTCGTGTAAAGGGATTAGCACTTTTTTCCTTTGCTCCTCTCCAGCCCTGAGGGCCTCCGTTTACCCCTAAACTGAATCTGGCGTTTTTTGGTCTAGCGCCAGGTCCATTCGAGCCCGGGGCACTGGCGGTCCCGGCAGTTGGCCTATATTCCCGCCTCCTCCCTTTGCCCCTTTGTCCTCAGTGGACTCGCTACCCGTTCTTCGCTCCCAGGGCCTGGGGCCGGGCCTCGGCCTCTCTCTTCCGGAGGCAGGGCCAGGCCCTGTGGGTGGGGAAGGGGCCCGCGATCTCCCAGGCAGGTCCGAGAGAGGGATGTGTAGACTCATTCTCCCGTGGAGAACAGGTGGCCCTGAGATCAGGCCCCTTTTTGCTCTTTGTATTTTATTTTGGAACTGTATTTAATGCTTTTATATGAAAGGGGGCGGGACGGAGACAGAGCTGACCCAATCACCCTAATGTGCAAATGTCTTATTTATTATGCGTGTATCAGAGATAAGCTGTGAGGTAGTGGGGGAAGGACCTAAAGGAAGAAGGAGCTAGGACAGCGGCGGGGATGGGAGGACTAAATATCCCATACATTCCTGTAGTCTCGGCCTCTTTCTCCGGCCCCAGCATTGGCTTTCCACAAAGGGATGCCCCTGCAGGGACGGCGCTCTCCGCTGGCTTAAAGTCAGGGTGGGGAAGCCAAGGGGTGGAGCTTGTGGGTGGGGTCTGCAAGGGTGTGGCCCTGGGGGGCAAGGGCGGGCTGTCTTTTGAGAAAGCAGAAGGCAGAGAAAACTCTTTCTCCTTACCCGCCCCAGGCCAGAACCCAAGGTTCAAGTGCCTCAGGCCAAGTTCCTTGACTTTCTAATTGGGAGTTGGGTTTTTATACCACGAATTTTATAGCATTTTATACAGTTTTGCTGGAGTTGGAAGGGACTCTGGAGATAACTTAGTACCATCTCTCCCCCTTCACGCAGGCAAAATTCTTAATACCAGAAACAACTTTTCACACAGCTAAGGTAGAAACAGGACAAGAACTAGGGGAAAAAAAAAAATCCCAACTCCCAATTCAGTGTTCTTTTCATCATAGCACGCTGCCTCCCAATCTCTGGTAAATTATTAGAATTTCTTTACCCATTATGCCTGCAAGGGGGGTGGCATGTTTGGGGCACTGCAGGCTGTCACAGTGCACTTATGATTCCTGAGGTTGGCAGAGAACTGCACTTCTTGAGGATGCTAAGCTCTTGGAATGAGGGGCAGCTCCTGCTGCTGCAGGCCTCAGCTGGGAGGCAGAGGCTGCTTTGAAGCTTTGGGATCAGAACACAAGATGGGCCCTTCACCCCTGGCCAAAGGTCTACTCAGCAGGGCAAGGCTCTGGCTTTGTGTTCTTCCATTGTTTTGGAATTTGGGGATGGGCTGTCAGTTGGCTGAAAAGTGAATTTCCACTGAGTTTGGCCCTCCAGGGTTTTTGAGACAGTATTAAAATCTTGAGAACAGATAAGCTGTGGCACCAGCCTGGGCATTGCCATTCTTTACTTCATGCATGTTGGTTTCAAATCCAGAAGGAGTATTCTATCACTTTTTCCACACTGCCATTCAAAAACAGGCAAATCAGGACAACTGGTTATAATCACCTGAGCTCACTGTTGACGCTCAGGTAAGCCAAGTCAGAAAACAGGTTAGGTATTGGTTTCCCCCTTCACAGAAGAGGTCTTAGAACAAAGGTGACTGAGTGGCTTTCTAAGTGTGGCCCCAGATCTGCATCATCATCTTAGGACCTTGCTAGAGGTATAAATTTTGGGGGCCCAAATGTGATCTGGGAAGTGCCGCTGTAGTGATTCCTACTGTGACTGGAGCTATGGCCTCAGAGTTGCCCTCATTCCTCGGGTGCCTCCTTGCCTTGGGATTCTGACATGAACAATTTCATTTTTTTTTTCTTTTTTGGTTAATGGTATCCTTGCTATTATGGCCAATATGTAAATGTTACTCTGAATACATATTTATATACCATGTTACTTAGTGACATTATTTGAACATTTGTATGCGTATTTGTGAAGTTGTTTGCTTCAGTCATTTAAAAAAAATACTTCAGCCTAAGTTTTTTAAGAGATATGTTGAATAAATTTTTAAAATCCAGCGTGTCACAGCAGCCTTAGTTTTGGGAAGAGCAACTTGAGAAACAAGTTGTTTTACAAAGAGGTGACTGATTCTTGATTTGGTGCTTAGTGTGGCCTTCTGTGGCTGCTTCACATTGCGAGTGGGGAAGCCTTCCAGGCTGCTGTGTTCCTCTGGGCCAGCAGCCCCCTTGCATCCTTTTTTTTTTTCTTTAAAGTGTGGCTGGGGTGATTGAACCAGGGCGTCATGCATGCCAGAAAAGTGCTCTACCACTAAGCCACACCTCCAGCTCATCTTTCTCCTAAGCTCACCTCTTAGAGGGTGTCTGATTTTCTCAGAAACCAAATGCACAAGTGTGCTTTTTACATTATGGAAATTCTGCAATTTAGGAATTCATATAAATTGTTTTTTAAAATCCTCAAAGCGGAGTGAGGAGGGGGGAAGTGGAAGGAAGCCCTGTTTATAAGTATAAAGAATAAAGTTAGCAGAACACCACCAGTCATTGTGTTCTTTATTTTTAAATTAATACCACATCAATTTGCAGTTTTACAGGAACCAAGATTCAAGCTCCTTGGGTGCTACTGTATTTTTATGTTGCACACACAGACACGCACACAGTTTCATTAGTACTTTTTTGTCTATGTTTTCCTTAAAAAAAAAAAAAAATTCTGCATGGCACAAACATCTCTCCCATTATCATTAACACAGCAACAACAAAAGAAAAGAACCAGGTGTGGGGCTTCCAGTGCAGAAAGAGGTCCTTTGGAGGGGAAGCCTGAAAGTCCTTCGGTGCAATGACTTCCTGGGAGGGTAAGGAATAGTGATGGAGAGGGAGTTTCTTAATATGACAGAGAATGTTAAAAATTTCAAAAAGAAAGGGGGCAAGAAAATAAGAAAAGGGAGTATGGGAAGAGTTCCTTTTACTCATCTAAATTCCCAATTAAAAAAAAAAAATCCTCCCAGTGCTTCCTGCAGAGCTGCAGTACTTTGGGACCAACAAATATTGTAGCCCTTACAGCTTGCTGCCTCTTGGAAGGGCAGGACTATGTAGGAGCTACAAGCTTAAGGAACTTAATGACTGCTTTCACACTGACTTGAGTCTCCATGTGGAAAAGGGAGGAAGAAACTTTGTCTCAAACAGGAATCAATGATTCCCAATCACCCTCCACCTGCTGTGCCTGTGCACTGCTCTGTTGTCTCCAACTGCAGAAAGCCCATCAATACACTCTGGCTCTGTCTGGTCATCTTAACTTAAAAGTTCACAGAAAGCACTCTCCAAAGGAGCATCGTGGGCCATGGTACAGGGGCTGAGCATTTTGTGTATCTGAAAAAGGAAAGCACCCTCAAAGCAGATAGACTCCACATGAACCACAAAATGCGCGACCCCACACTGGCGTGCAGTCTCTTAGCCACAGACACACAAGATCTCCCCTCAAGCCAGCTTGGCTTTGGTCCTTACACTAAACTGATGAGCACACATTAAAGCAACAGCATGTGAGGAGAAAGCAGTGGTGGTGGTGGTAGATAAAGAAAAACGTTTTTCTTTTTCGGTAGTTCCATCTTTTGAGACTGTTCCCCCTCCACGGACTGAGACAGGATTACAATAACTCAATAACTAGGGAGCCCACATGCAGATTATTTTTCTCTAACAAGTTTACAGCAGTGTACAGCAGGTACAGACATTTATTTCATAATAATAAAAGTACAACCATATTTATTAAACTTGAGGTGAGGTGGGTGGGCAGGAAAGAGGGGAAAGCACATTCAGGAATGAGTTCTCAAATTAACTCCCAGAACTGGCATCCAAGAGATGATGTGGACACCATGCTCCCAGCTGGTGGAGCCCTTCCTTCCCTGTGGGTGAGTGGCAGAGGGAGGTGGCCATTGCTGTGCCCCTGCCACACCCTTTCCCACCCTTTTCTGTTTCTACTCTTATTTCTCAGATGGCATTCTGGAGACAGGAATTATCACTACTACCTATAAGTTACTCAGAGCTGGAAGTTATATCATTAAGTCAAGAAGAGGAATATTAAGAGTAGCTGCTCACAGTGTGGGGCAGGAGGATGGGATTGGTGAGCTGCAAACAACCCAAGGAAGGCATCCCCCTCCTGTCCCCAAACCATTTCTTCATAAGTTAATCATTATTTCTTAACTTAAAAATAAGGGCAAAACTATAATGGGAGTTGTGTAAAACTAGTCCTTGAAAACTGAATAGAAGGACCCAAGAAATTTTTCTATCATTCACTTTCTCTTTACCTCTAATCTTTCCCCTTTTCATGCTACAGGTAAAAAGCTCCACCACCACTAAGGTATAATTTATCCTATTAATTTGATTCTTTCTTTATTCTTTTGGGTTCTAAGATATCAGTTCTTTTTGTTCAGTCCACTGTTTCTTGTGCTTGATACTGAGGGTAAAGGGAAAGGAGGGGAGAAAATACCAAATTAAAATAAAAATAAGCTTGGAATGCAGGCTCAAGCTGACACTGAGCATGTCCTCCATGGTACAAGTAACATCATTATAACTATTAAGTGGTGTTTTAGTAACTGTTGCATTTCTGGTTTCCATGTGTTTATTCTGCCTTTTTTTTGGCGATTCCAGGGAGTTTTGCTTGGATCCTGTTCAGGGCGGGGGGGAAAGAAGAAAAAAAAAAAAAACATAAGCATTTGTCTGGGTTTACATTTTTACAGTGATAGTAGAAGACAGTCCTGGACTTGCTAGAGCAACCTATAAACATTCTCCCATTTTCACAGGGATATGGTGAAGAGAGGCAGGGGTTCCAAGCTGTCCTGTTCTCTGCCTGGGATGAGCCTGAGGGGTCCACAAAGATCATCCCTCTTCCCCTGCTGCCATGCCTGATCCTCTTTCTCTGCCAGGAATCTGGGTCTTTCACTGAGGGTTCCAGAGAAGAATGGAGGGACCCAGGCAAGATGCCTGATGACTATGTTCTAAACTCGCAGTGTATTACTTAAACTCACAAGATATTACTTAAAAAAGGCCCATTTCTCTGGCTCTGTGAGGTACAGAACCCACCAGTGCCACAAAGGACCTAGAAGTCAGGGTGAAGGAGACATGTAAAACAGATATGGGTCATAGTATCCTGGGATCTCAGGCCTATGGGATGTGGCAACATTTCCTAGCCCCTCCACAGGATACCAGAAGCTGCCTTTTATTCTAGCAAAGGGGCTATTCAATCAGAAAGCCTGGTGCAATGGTGCAAGCCTATAATCCCATAACGCTCAGGGACAGTCTTGGCAACTAAGGGAGACTCTGTCTCAAAGTAAAAAATAAAAAGGGCTGAGGGTGTATCAGTAGTAAAGTGCCAATGGGCTCTATCATCAGTATCACAAAGAAAAAACAAAACTCTCAGTAATGTCAAGGCTACTCTCCACAAATGCCACAAACACAGCTGGCAACCCAATTCAAGCTCATAGCTCATACCGGCACTGAAGACGTTAGCTTTAAAGCCTAGCTATAATCACCTTTCACAAATAACTAGGGTAAATAGCCACTATATATATATATATTTGTGCTGTCTGTCTGATGTAGCTCAGCGGCAAAGTACCCTTGGGTTCAATTCCCAGTTTAAAAAAAAATCAAAAAATCAGGTGAAGATTCTGGCATCAAACCAGACCTACTGGATATACTCAGTTTCTTCTTTATTTTATTTTTTATAGTGCTGGGGATGGAACCCAGGACTTGCTCATGCTAGGCAAGTGCTCTATCACTGAGCTACATACATCTCTAGCCTACTCAGCTTTTTCTTGACAAACCTGGAGAAAGCACTAAAATCTCGGGTATGGAAGTAGCACACAGGGAATCTGTGGTACTTCTTTCTAAAAGAATACCTGAAGAAGGGAAGGGAGGAGGGGAGATGAAGGGAAGGCTCTGGGGAATGAGACTGATCAAATTATTTGGACGGATGAATGAGGCATATTGAATCTCACTATTATAGTGTATGATTCATGATATACCAATAAAAAGTTAAAAAGAGAAAAACTGAAGAAAGTATGGAATAATGTTAACATTTTACTTCAAATCATTGGTTTCATAATATTTGTTATGAATAACTGAAAATTAAAAAGCAGCTCCTTAATATAGGCGAGTCCTAGGTTCCATCCCCAGCACTACAATATTTTATTACTTGATTTAGGTATTACTTAAAAAAGAAAAGAGAGATTTGGTAATCACAGAAAACAGTTAGCTCAGCTGGGTATGATGATGTATGCTTATAGCCCCAGCTACTCGGAGGCAGAGGCAAGAGGTTTGCAAATTCGAGGCCAGCCTGGACAACTTGGCAAGACCCAGTCTCAAAATTAAAAAAATAAAAATAAAAAGGGCTGGGGGTGTAGCTGAGTGGCAGAGTGACCTTGGGTTCTATCTCCAGTACCACAAAAACAAACAAAAAAAACCCCTAAACTTGGTGGTACTAGATTTTGAACCCAGGGCAAGTGTTCTACCTTGCCCCCGACCCCCAATAAACAAAACAAAGTTTTTTTTTTTCAGGACGAAAATGGCTATCTTTGACATGGGCATTTTAGACAAAGGACTAAAAATAACCAGGGGAAAAAACACATCTCATGATGAAATGTGTTTCCAAATGTACTTACTTTTCAACAATTGACTTGGTTTGATCCCGGACGATGCCAACATAGTGATCAATCTGGGTCTTTAAGGAAAGAAAGAAGACTCAGCTGTAGTAACACATAGATTAATGTTTCAGACTTCAAATTATGCCAAGTTGTGTGAAAGTGAAAGCTTCTGCAAAGGTAAGCATTACTTGGTACTTCCTTTACTGGAGCATTCTACTATGTAAACATCTGCTTGCACCACCCTGAACAGCCTACAGCTAACCACCCCCCCCAAAATAAAAGAAACTGCTTCCTTTTACATTCAGTTTTTATTCATTAAGCACTTTTTCAACTTTTTGAAGAGATAATGCATCTATGCAATAAAACCTCGAAACATTTACACAAGGTGTAACAAGTAAGTCTCTTTCCCACCCACATCTCTTCTAGACATCTAGTTTCTCTCACTGGAGGAAAACACCGTGACCAATTTGAACACAAATTTGACTTTAAAATCAACTAAAATCAGTCATTTATCAACCAGCACACTGATTTGGAATAAATGCCTACCTTGTACTTCTCATAGACAATTGGGACGCTGAAGACGAGCAGCTCCGCTGAAAGACAGAATCACAGGACAGGGCAAGTGTAGGTGTGCATGAGATAGTCACAAAGTATCAAGACACAAGCAACTGCATCCATTTCCTCAGGAAATATAGGGTAACACACTTTCCTCAAAAGGACAGATCCTGGCCAGAGCTCCCAATTAAGAACCATTACAAAAAAAGAGTAGAGAAGTGTAAAAAACCACAAGCCTCTCTCAGGTATATAGGTTGCTTTCTTTGTCCTACAGATAACAATTTCCAAATTAAAAAAATGGCTATATTATAAATAAGATCCCCATTTTTAAACCAAATCTAGATAACTCTCCTTTACTTCCAGCTATTTTGAAATATCATTATAAATGGGACCATTTAACAAACTTGTGATCACAAGTTCCTCCAGTATCTAGTTCATAGTCTCTGGCTACTGAGATGGGACCACGTGGAACAAGTAGAGCCCTGCTGGACATCCTCTTTATTTATCCTCACTAATCACTTAAAGGAGCATGGACATTTTCCTTGCCACCTTACCAAGAATCAGAAGGGTGATTCCATTAAAAACGGCACCAACATAGGTCATCAGCCACATGAAGACAGCCAGCTGTGAAAGCCAATGTAAGAGGGGTTAAGCAGAAAACCAGTAAAGTTCATGTTAACTGATACCAATCACCTCTAGCTACCTAAGTGTGTATAAACACAGTGACCTATGACACATGATTTCAAAATGAAGGTTCCCTCACTTGCATTATACATTTAAGTGCATGAGAGAATTCTGTGGATCTCTTAGGTCCAAAGACTGTACCACTGCTGATTCTATTATCAGATATTCTTTTTTGGGGGGTACCAGAGATTGAATTTAAGGGCACTCAACTGCTGAGCCACACCCCAGCCTTATTTTGTATTTTATTTAGAGACAGGGTCTCACTGAGTTGCTTAGTGCATTGCTGTTGCTGAGGCAATCTTCCTGCCTCAGCCTCCCAAACTGCTGGGATTACTGGCATGTGTCACCGCACCAGTTTATTACCAGATAATCTGATGTTCATTCTCTAATAGGAGGTGACAGCTTCTCATGATTTTTTTTTTTTTGGTAGTGGGGATTGAACCCAGGGGTGCTCTACCACTGAACTACATCCCCACACCTTTTTATTTTGAGACAGAGATGCTTAAAGCCTTGCCAAGTGGCTGAGGCTGGCCTTGAACTCTTGATCCTCCTGCCTCAGCCTTCTGAGCCACTGGGATTACAGGTGTGTGCCACCATGCCCAGCTCATGATATCTGTATAACTTATTTTTTTTATGTTTAACAATGACATCAACAATACTTTTTTTTTTTTTTTTGCTTGCAATACTGGGGATTGAACCCAGGGCCCTGCACAAGAGCTCTTGATACTGAACTAATCTCCCTAGCCCTTGGTGACAGCTTTCTCTACTGACTACTACCTTCATTTTCACAAGATGACTGAGCTAAGCATATGTTTGTTTTTGTCTGATAAAACCCTATGCACCATTTTACCTCTGAATCAAAATCCAGACCCTGATTTTTCTTAGTTTCACCACCAAAAACTGCAGAAGCAACTAACCTTCAAGGAGTCGACCAGATCTTCCACCAGAAAGAGACGAATGATGAGTTTTAGGGCCTTGTTGACATGCACCATGGCAGCATTCATGTAATTATGGAAAGCTTCTGAGGACAGTGTAATGTCCACATCCAGGTAGGCTCTTTCAGAGGAAGAAACAACGGTCACATGTTTGAAATAAGAGGGAGCATTCTCTGTCAGCACAGCAGTTCTTGAGGGTTAAAGTGGCCTCTAGGGTGCATTTTAGAAATCTCTGGCATATTTTTTGCTATCATGGGGTGAAAACAATATCATCATTTAGTGGGCAGAGACAAAGATGCCAGACGTCTGCAAAGTATGGGGCAGTCATACACAGTGAAGAATTGTCCTATGTTCTATGTAAATTTGATTCCCTCAATGAATATTCAAAAAAAGGTGAATCCATTTATAATTAAATGGCCGTAACATATGGCTCAGTGGTAGAGCACTTGCCTAACATGTGGGAGACACTGGGTTCAATTCTCAGCACTGCATATAAATAAATGAATAAGGCAGGTGCAGTGGCGCACGCCTATAATCCCAGCGGCTCAGGAAGCTGAGGCAGGAGGATCATGAGTTCAAAGCCAGCCTCAGGAAAAGCAAGGGGTTAATAAGCAACTTGGTGAGACCCTGTCTCTAAATAAAATACAAAATAGGGCTGGGGATGTGGCTCAGTGTTTGAGTGCCTTAGAGTTCAATCCTCAGTACCAAAACCAAATAAATAAATAAAAGGCCCATCAACAAGTAAAAATATATATTAAAAATAATAATAATAAATCACAAGATTATTGTGAGGATTGAATGCCATAAGAAGTTTATAATTAAAAAAAAAAAAATCCTGAGTTTTCTAAAACTACACTACTGTCACATGTTTTAGGCAAGTGATCTGCCACTGAGCTATAGCCCTAGGCCCTAAAACCATACTCCGTTTATGATTTGTTTCCCATTTTGGAAAATCACATCTGCACTAGTGATTACAGAGGTAGGTGCAAGAATCCAACTCCACTATGCTACTGGGTATGGTCATATTCAAGCAACTAAATATTGGCTGATAGTCATTTATAATGAAGTAATATGTCTATGTTTCACATTTTTATAATTGATCTGTTTTGAAACTACATTTGAAGCTAGATCACATTATCTATGAATTTCATTCAGAATGATAAAGAAGGCATTTAAAATATTTGTTTAAAAAATAATAAATTTGACAGAGCTGAAAACCTTAGAAAAAATTCCAGGGTTCTGTCCCCAGATACTACAGGACTGAGATGTAACCATGCGCTCATTACCTGTTCATTCCCTCAATACTGACTGCATGCCTCTTGCATACCAGACATTCTGCTACATGCTGGGATGTCAGGAAAGGTGAGGCCACTTTTACTACCTTTAGGAGCCCCCTAGTCATGGGGAAAATGGAAGAGTAAATAGGCTTTTTTCCCTTCGTATTTATTAAGAAAATACTTACAATTATGTGTAAGAGTTTTAAAAATTAGGTATTGTAATTAATAAAATTTCATGAAACATTTTTTAAATATTTTTTTAGACACAATATCTTTATTTATTTATTTTTATATGGTGCTGAGGATTGAACCCAGGGCCTTGCACATGCTAGGCGAGTGCTCTACTGCTGAGCCATAACCTCAGCCCATAAAACATTTTTTTTATATCTACAAGTGTCATGCAGAAAAGAACAATACTCCCTTAAGATATCAGAGCATGTTGCATAGCAGTAAAATTTATTCACACATTCATTCTGTGCTACTGACTTATTAAAATTAATTGGCAAGAAAATTTTAATGGCACTTGACTTAAGTTTTTTCTTCTTTTACAGAAGGAAAGTATATGCACAGCATGGTGGCCAGAAGGCGTTCAGCTGCAGTGCTGAGGTCATAGCAGGGCTTCTTCCTCTATGAGAAAAGGGCTTTTTAAAAAACTGTCATTTGCTAGTGTTTATGTTTTTATGGGTTAAGAATTTCAAGAAGAAAAGATCTGTTAAAGTGACAGCACAATCAGAAAAGCTAGAAACTGGATCCTAGAAATGCATGACCTACCAACTTGATTCTGGGATTATTAAAACCAAATGAGAGATATGGATGCCACCAAGAACACAGGTCCAGTTAAGATTTCAAAGCCATTTCAAGATTCATCCACATGGGGGCTGGGGTTGTAGCTCAGTGGTAGAGCGCTTGCCTTGCATGTGTGAGGCACTGGGTTCGATCCTCACCACCACATAAAAATAAATAAATAAAATAAAGATATTGTGTCATATGGGAGGCTCATAGGCAAGAGCGACCGCATGAATGAGCACAGCTCTCGGTGTGCTGCACTTGCCGTCATGCTCAGGGTTTAGTCCTCTTTGATCTTAAAGTGTAAGCCTTTAGTGTGTAAAAAAACGGTTTGGGCCACTTCTTAGGGTAATCATAGTCTCTAGGAGATGAATAATGTCACCAGTCAGCTCCATGAAACCCTATATTTCTTGCTTTTTATTTAGGTCCAATTTTCAGACTGGACCAGTCTCAGCAAACCCCTCCACTGAAATGTGGAATATTGTGTGTGATACTTCAACTCACTTGAATGGATGGCCTTCTTCTGATTTCTGTACAGCTTGGATGACAGACTTGTAGACTCTGAAGCTGATGGTGACAGAGAGAAGGGCCAGGATGAGGTAAGAAACCACACTGATGACACTGAAGGCTGCCAGGGACAGCAGCATGATCAGTGTGGTGCCAAAGACAAACCCAGTCTTCTTCACATCTCGCCAGAAAATCAGATCGTGCACTGCCAAGAGAAAGGGAATGTGAGTTGCAGAAGCAGGAACTGCTCTGGATGAGCTCTGCGCACCTGTGTGGTGTCCCACTAGCATAGAGAATCTGACACTTAAAAGAATTTATTTTAAATATATATATATATATGTATATATATATATATATTATTTTTTTTTTTTGAGAGAGAGAGAGAGAGAGAGGGAGAGAGAATTTTAATATTTATTTTTTAGTTTTCGGCCGACACAACATCTTTGTTTGTATGTGGTGCTGAGGATAGAACCCGGGCCGCACACATGCCAGGCGAGCGCGCTACCGCTTGAGCCACATCCCCAGCCCCTAAAAGAATTTATTTTAGCTGCTCAAGTCCACTAATGTAAAGTCTCATTGACCTTAAATGTTTTGGCAGAAAGGATAATAGAACTGGGCACAGTGGTGTACACCTGTAATTCCAGTGACTTGGGACGATGAGGCAGGAAGATTGCAAGTTCAAGGCTAGCCTTGGCAACTAAGTAAGGCCCTGTCTCAAAATAAAAAACAGAAAGGGGTGGAGATGCTGCTCAATGGTAAGGCATCCTTGAGTTCAACCTTGGTACTTACTGACATATATACACACATCCATAAAAAGGATGCCAGGGCTGGGGATATAGCTCAGTTGGCAGAGTGCTTGCCTTGCATGCACAAGGACCTGGGTTTGATTCCCAGCACCACCAAAAACAAAAACAAACAAACAAAAACCAGAGTGAGGCTGGCAAAATTTTGGTAACTGTTGACTAAATGAAGCAAACAAGGTTGGTGTGGGCGTCTGTGGTTCTAGCACTATGGAAGCTAAGGAAAGGTGATCACCTGAGCCTAGGAATTTGAAGCCAGACTGGACAACATGGCAAATTCTAGTCAAAACCAACTGATAACGCCTACAAAGCTAACCAGAAATGTATAATTAGGGTAGGGGCAAAAAAACGTTGGTGATAAAAACAGACCAATCTCAATTAGTGTTACAATGAAACACAAGTCTGTGTTAATCTGAAGAGGTTTCAGGAAGGACAATGAGTTTGGGACAATATAATTATTCAGACTACTACATATATATAATACATACATACATACACACACACACACACACACACACACACACACACATATAAAATTTACCCCCCATCTTTTGTGGTGCTGGGGATTGAACCCAGGGCCTTGAGCACATGAGACAAGCAATCTTGCCTCAAGTTACACCCTTAGCCCTAATTTTACTTTTTTTTTTTTTTGGTACTGAGGATTGAATCCGGGGTGCTCTACCAATGAATTACATCCTGTCCTTTTTATTTCAGACACATCTTGAGAAGTTGCTAATGCTGCCCTTGAACTTGTGATCCTCCTGCCTCAGTCTCCTGAGCTGCTGGGATTATAGGCATGTGCCACTGCACACAGCTCTTAATTTTTACTTTTTAAGAGACAGGGCCTCCTTATGTTGCTTAGGTTGGCTCTGAATTCCTGGACTCGAGTAATCTCTCTGTCTCAGCCTTCTAATCAGTTGGGACTACAGGTGCATGGCCAAACCATAATACTTTAAAAAGCAAGTGGGGTAATTTAATTGTCGTGTCGAGGAAATAGCTATAAACCTGGACAATTCCAGGCAACCAGATCTTATGGTTGGGAATCTAAAAACTGGAAGAATCTAAGTTCTTGTACTTTAAAACACCTCAAACTGGATGGCAGGCTGGTAACTACTTCCAATCTAGGCTCTGTAAAAGGCTGACACTTAAGTAGTAGCCCTACAGTGACTTTCCTCCCATCTACTCTGTTTAAAAAAAGAGCAAGACTTTTGGAGATAGACAAGAATTTCAGTGTTAGTAATTTCCAACCATATTACTTAAACCTGTTTAAGACTGCATATTCTCAATTGTAAAACAAATAAAATGACATCTATTTCCTAGAGTTGCTTCAAGGATAGGTTAGTGCCGGGAGAATGCTCTGCACTGTAACTGACATGCAGTAAACATTTAAACTTTAACTGCAATCAAATACAATTAGCATGAAAGACTGTGATTTGAGATCAAATGAACCTGAGCTGACCAATGACATCTACTCCTTCCCCATGTTCAGCTCCAATACTCTCTGAAAACATTTCTCTCAAGCCTAATTTTGCCCAAACTTAATATGAGTACAACTCAAAATCAAGAACATTATTAAAAAGATGCTGATTGGGGGGCTGGGGTTGTGGCTCAGCGGTAGAGCGCTCGCCTAGCATGTGCGGGGCGAGGGGGCTGGGTTCGATCTTCAGCACCACATATTTAATAGATAAAATAAAGGTATTGTGTCCAACCACAACTAAAAGAAAAAAAAATATATATATATATTTAAAGATGCTGATTGTATAGAAGAAATGAGCACTGGTTCAGAGATTCTGGCCAGGGGAGGTGACTCATGAGGAGAGGAAAGGGGCGTTATAATTACTGATGGGAAGTCTAATCATAGGTAGTAGTGCTGCAGAGCAGGTTGAAATCTGGGAGACAATTCCGGCTCATATGACTGAACTGAGACTGCAGAGGAAGCCTAACAGAACACTGGCCAAGTAAGAGGGCAAATATCAAGTGGGAGAATCTGCTAGTGGTCAGAGTTCACCTGCTACAAGAGCGTTTCAACATGGAATGCTTAGAGGCTCAAGGCCACCAGTAGTAGAACAAAGTGATTTCATGTGCTTCTCTGGATGCAATGCACTGAGAAGGATAGAACAGTACTTCTGTGATATTCCTGCCCCAAACACACAACTTGAATCTAGAGAGAGAATACCAAGCAAGACAGTCTCAAAACAACTGACCTAGGGCTGGGGATGTGGCTCAAGCAGTAGCACGCTCGCCTGGTATGCGTGCGGCCCGGGTTCGATCCTCAGCACCACATACACACAAAGATATTGTGTCCGCCGAAAATTAAACAATAAAAATAAATAAAAATTATTAAAAAAAAAAAAACAACTGACCTATAGTCTACAAAAGGATTAATGCTGTGAAAGAGAAAGAAGAACCTTCAGATTAAAGGAGAGTAAAGACACAAAACCAATATGTAAATGCCAAGTATGATCCTACACTGGACTTGGAAAAGGAAGTCAAAATAGCTATGAAGGTATCAGTAGGACAAGGACAGAATTTGTGAATGAAAAGCACTGAACCAATGCTAAATTTCCTAAATGTGGTTAAGTGTACAATGATTATGTAAAACAAATAACAAAAGTTTTTGTTTCAAGGAAATACCCTCCAGGGTATTCAGAGTAAAGAAGGAGGAAGCTTGCAAAACTCCAAAATGGTCCAGAAAAAAAAAAAAACAAAACAAACAAACCAGAACTATAGAGAAGAAGGGAGCAAAAAAAGCACAGGTGGCCAAATGTTAATAACTGGTGAGCTAGCGCCTGTCAAGGTCACATGGGGGCTTTTTGTACACCGCTTGCAGTTCTTCTGTAAATCTGAATATTTGAAAGAGAAAAAAAAAATTAGAGGATAATGCTGAGGCCCAGAGAGAAAAGGACCTTGATGTACCAGAGAAGGACAAGGCGATAAATAGCCTAAAAGCAAATTAGAAATTCCTACCTTTGTGTTAAGTTGAAAATGTCACCCTGTCTTATGAACTTTACTGCCATCTGCTGGAACCCTAGGATAAGATGGTCAAACCTACAATGACAACACATGGCTAGTGCCCTCTAGGGGCCTGCAGTACATGCACCACAGTACAGAAAGCCCTGGACCAGAGGGAGCATCCTGATTGACAGGGAACCAAGAGCTTGGAAAAGAAGGCCCGGATGCATTACAGCTCATGGCCTGCTCTTTCTTTATTCAGGTGCTGGCTCAGTATGACTGCCCACCTTGTCTAACATCCCCTTCTCTCTCAACTCTCTATCCCATTACCCAGCTTTTTCTTTAGCATTGTCACTTAAATTATATCTGTAGAGGCCTCTTCATATCCATTACTGAGTGCTTAAACATGGGCCAGCTAGTGACCGAAGGACAGCATAAACACAACCGATCTGTTTCCCGAGAATGACCCCTTATACTCAATCTATCAAGCACAGAGACCAGGGATCCTGAGTACAGAATACCAAAGAAAGGGAACTGGCGTGATGTTTGGAAACTTTTGGGAAAGACGAGAATGAATAATACAAGGAAAAAAGGTGAGAAATAAGGTAGGCGTCAAGTTTTAAAATGTGAGGTCACTAGACCTCGTATTCATTTCATAAACAGGACACCAGGAAAAGGTTGTAATGGTTTGTTTCCATGAAAATTTCTCTTCATTCTTTTCTATTTTCATTCATGTGTTCTTTCTGCCTCAGTATAGTACTTTAAAACAGAAGATTCCTAAAAGAGTTTTCTTTCTTTCCATTTCCACTCTATTCTTCTTTCATGTGTTTTATTAAGTACCCATTATGTGCTGGGCACGTGCTAGGAGTCACAGCTGTGAATAAGGCAAACAAGATCTTTACTTACATTTCACAGGGGAAGAAAGGAAATATATATAATGAAAATGTTGGGGCTGGGCTTGTGGCTCAAATGGTAGAGCGCTTGCCTAGCATGTGAGAGGAACTGGGTCTGATCCTCAGCACCACATAAAAATAAAATAAAGATATTGTATTGGGCTGGGGTTGTGGCTCAGTGGTGGAGCACTCTGCCTAGCAAGTGCGGGGCCCTGGGTTCGATCCTCAGTACCACATAAAAATAAATAAATAAAGGTATAATGTCCAACTACAACTAAAAAATAAATATATAAAAAAATTGCATCCACCTAAAACTGAAAAATGAATATTTAAAAAAAAGAGAGAGAAAGTGTCCCCCTATAAGAGTGGATCACAGAATATAAACCTATGGGCTATGTGGGTGGTTTTTTTTTTTTTGGCACTGGGTACTTTACCACTGAACTACATCCACAGACCTTTTGAGATGGTATTGCTAAGTTGCTTAGGGCCTTACTAAATTACTGAGGCTGGCATAAAATTTGTGATCCTCCTGTCTCAGTTTCTGAATGGCTGGGATTATA